CTTATTGATCCAGTGTTACTACAGGAGGAAACCTAAAATAAACTAACTTTATTTATACTGGATAGCTCTATCAGTTCTAAACTGTTCTTCCTAGAGGTTCAGTAAGAATCATCTCTTATTGATCCAGTGTTACTACAGGAGGAAACCTAAAATAAACTAACTTTATTTATACTGGATAACTCTATCAGTTCTAAACTGTTCTTCCTAGAGGTCCAGTAAGGACCATCTCTTATTGATCCAGTGTTACTACAGGAGGAAACCTAAACTAAACTAACTTTATTTATACTGGATAGCTCTATCAGTTCTAAACTGTTCTTCCTAGAGGTCCAGTAAGGATCATCTCTTATTGATCGAGTGTTACTACAGGAGGAAACCTAAACTAAACTAACTTTATTTATACTGGATAGCTCTATCAGTTCTAAACTGTTCTTCCTAGAGGTCCAGTAAGGATCATCTCTTATTGATCCAGTGTTACTACAGGAGGAAACCTAAACTAAACTAACTTTATTTATACTGGATAGCTCTATCAGTTCTAAGCTGTTCTTCCTAGAGGTCCAGTAAGGATCATCTCTTATTGATCCAGTGTTACTACAGGAGGAAACCTAAACTAAACTAACTTTATTTATACTGGATAGTTCTATCGGTTCTAAACTGTTCTTCCTAGAGGTCCAGTAAGAGTCATCTCTTATTGATCCAGTGTTACTACAGGAGGAAACCTAAACTAAACTAACTTTATTTATACTGGATAGCTCTATCAGTTCTAAACTGTTCTTCCTAGAGGTCCAGTAAGGATCATCTCTTATTGATCCAGTGTGACTACAGGAGGAAACCTCAACTAAACTAACTTTATTTATACTGGATAGCTCTATCAGTTCTAATGCGCTCAATTTTTCAATTCTGTGTTCAGGTATTCACAGAGCGCACGAAAACACAGAAATACGACCAAATGAAAACAATACCACTCAAACTTTGGAGCAAAACTCTCTCAATTTAACCCAGCAAGCTGATTTAGAAGTCGAAGACGAAGCGAGTGAATTAGCTTTAAGAGAACAATTGTTAAAGTCAATGGTCACCAAACGCGCCGCAAAGAATGCTGGGAAGGTTAACGAAAAGAGTGCCGCGGCATCTGTAGCGTCGCCTAGCAACAGCCGTGCTCCATCGCCATTCGCGGAGCCTGGTACGAGGAAGGGACTACAAGAGGTTGTAAAGAATGAGGCAACAAAGGCCGCTAAGGTACAGTATACGTGAATGGACCTATTCCCTAATGAACAAAATTTTGATCTAGACAAGTCTAGACAAAAATTTCATCACAGCTTGAAAGAGCATCACAAAATTAGTAGTATTCCAAAGTTTCGTTGCGAAATGTTGTAAAATGCGCATAATATAGCCCTGCGAAGTTTGCCATTTTTCAGTCATTTTGTATTACGCACGGGAAATTGATATACCGCTTTCTGAAAAAAGGTATCAATTTCCCGTGCGTAATACAAAATGACTGAAAAACGGCAAACTTCGCAAGGCTGTATTATCCGCATTTTACAACATTTCGCAACGAAACTTCGGAATATTACTAATTTTGTGATGCTCTTTCAAGCTGTGATGAAATTTTTGTCTAGACTTGTCTAGATCAAAATTCTGTTCATTAGGGAATAGGTCCATTGACGGTTTCATCTCGCTTTCTCTTCGGAGAACCACAATAAGTTTTTTTACAAAAACATTAATGGTTTTGAAGATGGGAGATAATACTATTATGCACTTAATGTCTGCTCCCTCGGGAAATAGTTAGTTTTGTTTTCCCGAGAATCTCAATGTTTCCCGAGACGAAGTCGAGGGAACCATTGAGATACGAGGGAAAACAAAACTAACTATTTCCCGAGGGAAAAGACGTTAAGTGTTTTGTTATATAGCGACGAAACAAATATCAACAGTGAACAACATTCATACAACAATATTTGTAATTTTGTATTTCATGACAAAAACTCTATAGCGTAAACGAGTTTAAAATTTTAAAAACCTACTTAAATGGTTTCAGCAGCATATCCTGTTTTGTTTATTTATGTACGTAGCCGGTCGGGGTGGGCAACAATTTTTCACTTATTGTCCGGGCGGGATACATTGCATTTATCTAAAGCCACGTGACTACAAATCAGCCAATCACGTTTGGTGTTCACACTAGCTATATTATAATCCCATTTGTCAACCCATCAATTGGTACGTAAGGCGAATAATATGATGGTGATTATATAGTTTACCGTCAATGAAAAGAATGAATTTTATTTATATTGCATATTATAATATGGCTAAGAGCCGTGTTGATATAACTCAATGTCAACACGGAAAATTTCTTCCTTTATATTTCTTTGTTAAGTTTTATATAAAACTTTTTTCCGTATTGATATAAAGTTATATCAACGCTCGTGGAAATTGGGAAAACTCGAAATAGTGTGAAAACACTCAATGTTTTATATTTGTTAAATGTTAATTGCTATATTGCTGTGAATATTGCCAACAAAATGTATATTGGTATTTAATTTAAATGAAACCATTAATGGTACCGTTAATGCGAATCGAATCTTTCGTTTGCTGTTGCTTGTAAAGCAGAGCGAACCAGAACGACGTTTGAAACTCCCGAGAAACTTTTTTTAATAGGCAATTCCAGCTATGGACTTGGTACTGATCTGGCCAAGAGAAAAAGTGAATCTGTCACTACCACAGCTGAAAGAGCATGTTAAAATGAGTAAAATTGCAAAGTTTGGTTGCGAAATGTTGTAAAATGCGGAAAATATAGCCCTGCGAAATGTGCAAATTTTGTATTAATTTGTATTACGCATGGGAAAATGCACCACTTTCGGCCCAAATGTGATGCATTTTCCCGCGCGTAATACAAATTAATACAAAATTTCGAAGGGCTATATTTCGTCATTTTACAACATTTCGCAACCAAACTTTGCAATTTTACTAATTTTAACATGCTCTTTCTAGCTGTGGTGATGGATTTTGTTCTTCTTGCCGAGATCAAAATTTAGTCTATAACTAGAATCATCCGTTGTACTTGCATGTCTGAATAGAGCGCTCTCGCGTCAGCCGATCCAGCCCGTCAAAACGGCGTCTAAGTGAGCGTCTTTGTTGTTTTTAGGTGAACATTGCACCGCCGAAGCACGAGCCTGTGGTCATTCATCTTGGCGTTGATTCCGAGGACAGTGAGTCGGATGGCGAAAGTCCCATTAAACGAGAGTCGAACTCATTCTTTGGTGGCTTAGATTCGTTTATTAAGGAAGCAAGGTACGAGCATTTTGTATGTGTTGTCACGCTAACTATGTTATGATCTCAGAAATTCTCACACTGATCTAAACCGAGGCGCGAATTTCTTAAGAAAAGCTTTAAGTACAGTGGTGCTAAACGTTGGAATAATCTTCCGCGCGAAGCGTTAAAAACGAAGTTTGATGGCATTATCAGACTTGTTACAAGGTTGTTCTAACAAGTCCGATATACAGTCATGATATAACAAGAATGTTACAAGGTTGTTTTAACAAGTCTGATACAGTCATGATATAACAAGAATGTTACAAGGTTGTTCTAACAAGTCTGATACAGTCATGATATAACAAGAATGTTACAAAGTTGTTCTAACAAGTCTGA